GCGCTGAAGCGGAAATGGCAGCCATGCGAACCCACATGCAGGAGAATCAGAGGACATCATCCGTCTCAGTGTACCCTGGGAGTGTACAGCACATTACAAGGCGGTCCAACGCAAGCACTGAAATTCGCCAGAATGCCTTCACATTCCTGTACTTTCTGAGTCTCCCAGACTTCTTGTCACCATTTTAACTGGACAAAGGTCTCTGGTATTTTCGGTTTTGTTTTTGTTTTTTTTAAAGTATAGCATAAACAGCAACATGAAGAATGCTTTTCCTGGATCAGGACTCCGAGGAAAGCTGTTCTTCTACTGTTTGATATGAAAGTAAGCTGTTCAGTGTGGAGTGCAATAGCCAGCTATGTTCCTAAACCTCCTTTAGGTATTATTCCTAAAATCACATTATGTGAGGAGATATTTATGAAGGTGGGATGGTTTCAACTGTTTTGAAAGCTTGCTCCAAGATTGGCTTTGGTTGATGACATTCATCTCTAGAATCAAATCTAATGAATAAATAAAATAGCTGCCCTGTATAAAAGGCTTGGTAAGCCATTCATCACAATATGATAGAGCTACATTATATTCTCAGATACATCCACACAAATACAGAAAAAATAAATCTGTTTCAGTAAGACTATTCATATTATCCATCTGGCCACCTGAATACGGCAAGTTAAGAAAATTAATTCAGGTAAGTACAAAAGCTGTGGCTGGTTCATTTTAACACATTCCAGCAGAACTTAGCCTAGCCTGACACCGAAGCAGATGAAACCAAAATCTACTCTACAAGAGACTGTGTAAAAAGCAAGATTTTCAGCCAGAAGATTGTGGAAATCAGGCTAAAATGACACTGTTCAAACAAATGTTAGGAGACAGAACTTCAGCTAGCAAAAAAAGCAAAAAAAACAGCTCGACTCCATTGACTTCAGGGGAGCCATCCCAAATACCATCAGCTGGGAGTCTGGCACTGTCATAAAAAAGGTTTAGTTTGCAGGCTACCATTGGTATATCTGGTACTTTTAGTGAAGATATACATCTTCTTACAGACTGTAACAAAAGAAACAACGAAAATAGAATTTTAACAAAGGGCATCACTCCAGGTAAGTGTCAGAGAATAAACGCGTCTCTGTTCTACCAGCTCTGTAAAAGAAGGGGAAAGAACGTTGAATGTAACAAAAGTGTAGTCCTTAATACTTTATGCTGCAGAAAGGGATGAACTACCAGAGGTACAAGTCCATAGAACGGTATAATTACTTCCTTTATAACTTTGCTCTCTTCTGATTATGTACATACATTTCAAAGGTCCTCCATCCTCCAAAAGGGCATGGGAGGAGGGGGGACGGCTCTGTATAGTTGCTGGTAAGAAATCCTAATCTCAACACTGGTGTAAGCTAGAGGTGTCTATACATTTGAGCACTTCCTGTTTTCACTTTGTGATCAAATATGTTCTTTGCAGGGCAAATAGGGGAGCACTTGAGGGAGGAAAGCAGAGATGTCTGAGAGGCTAATTGAGTGTACTAAGGACTCCTTGGCATAGAGGAAAAGGAGTCTTCCAAAGCTATGAATAAACTCTCGGCTTGGGTCAGATTTCTTGCTGTTTCTTTTCTTTAACCACCTTTGAACTCAAATAAAAACAGCCTTAATGTCAGGTTTACCTTTCTGATGTCGTAATCTTTATGTACTATTGAAAAGCTTATACTACCAGACTAGGATTTCCTCTACTTTCTTAAACACTGGATATTATCCAGAAAAAGCATACACATTTCCAACCAATTCATCCTCAGATCTTTCATCTTCCGGTACTGTTGTAATTCCAAACGTAAGACAGAGCTCAGTAAGTGAATGAGAACATGACAGAAGCTCCTACTCCTTGCATTTGATTTCCAACAATAAAAACATGCATGTGTATCCTATTTCAAATATAATTAAAATTACTGCAAAATGGACGCTGTGATGGGGGTTAGAAATTGTTTTGAAAGACACAGCCTGTCAGATACATTCATTCTACATCAGAGTTCAAGTGCCTGCCTCTTCAAAAAAGCCATTTAGGCAATTCGATTTTTAAAATCGGCTACCTTAGGAGTTTGCAAACTGATTGAATAATGGAAAAAAATAGCATTTTATTTAAAATCATAAGTAAATACAATTAGTCAGAACTGAGTTACTCTCTTTGAATTTGACAGTCTAAAGGAATTTCAAGTTTAATCCACACCATAAGAGATGGACTGCCACTGCCTCTCCTTCCAGGGAAACCAGAGGTTAATGATTTTTGTCATATTGAGACTAACAGCTAACAATTGCTACAGTTGGCCTTTAGTATTTTATTTGTCCTTTTGAGGTATTCAGAATAGGTGACAATGGCTTGCAGTTGAGAACATATGTAGAGAGACCCCCGTGGCTTATGGAAAAGTTGCTCCATGCTGGTTGGGTGTTTGAAAAAAAAATACAACCAGAGCTCTTTTATGTTCCTCTCCTTAATGAATGCATGAATGTCAAAATGTACCAATGGCCCATTCAGGGGGCAAAGCCTAAGCAGCTCCTTCTTTAAGAACACATCCTGAGATGTAAAATACATTTGCTTAACAAATTAAAATAATGAGATAATTCAATTAGTTTCTTTAAAAAAAAAAAAAAAAGAAATAAAAAAGGGTACATCAGGGGATTATTGTAATACAAGAACAGGTCATACAGCACAAAGGAGGAACAAACCAATTTGAAATAAGGTTAGAGTAGTAATGAAGGAATGTACATTGAATCATGGACCGCCATTGTAAAGATATTTACTTGAAACAATAAAATTGTACATCACAGATTCCCCCGTTCTGGCTCAGCCAGCATTGCACTTTGAAGGGACAAGCTAATTTGAGAAAAAGTGCGAGATCTTTAAAAGAAAGGAGTTCTCGTCCCTCCCTGCATGTGTTTATGGCAAGAATCTTTCTGAATTTACATTGCACTGGTCAGGGGTCTCCATTATCAGTTTTCAGGTCTGAGACTTACAGCACAGTAAATCTTTCAACACCTGCAAACTCATTAAAGCTGGGACAGTAAAAGGTTTGGGGCTTTTTTGTGTTCATTTAATTTGATTTTTGCAAGGCCATCCTCACCAGTGATGGCAAATTTCCCCGGTTCATGCAGGATGGAGAGGGATAGGAGAGAGAGGATGGAAACAAGGAAAAGGGATTTCAAAAAGCCAGGAGGACTTTCCTCAAGAGAAGAGAGAGGCAGTTGACTGTTTAATAAGCATGTGTCGGATGCTTTCAAGGAGCACGTGAGAAAGGAAGGCAGGGAGAAAAAAACAAGATATCACAAATTTCATAAGAGGAAGTGGAGTTACCACGGAGACATGTACAAAACAAACTGGTTTATTTGTGGCCCTGCTTTTTGCTGTCTGCCTGTACTACTCCTCTAAAGATACCCTACAGCTAAATGAAAAACCCTCCACTCATACTCACTCGACTTCCAAATTAAAAACATTTTACAGGTTAGTAAATCTCCAGCTGAGGTGATGTAGCAAAGAACAGCTGTGAAGTAATTTTGATAATGATGAGAATAATAAGCACATGGCAAGGTTCAGGGCTTTGCTGTTGCAGCTTCAGTGCTCCTGAATAGATAAAAGTGATTAAATACTCCTGATTATCCCTGACCAATATGTAATGGATTTACAGCCCTTTCAATTAGTCAGTATTTGCTTAGGACTCATTATTTTGTCTTTGGTTAAGTAATCAGCCCAGAGACTCATGTTCTGTCTAATTCCTCTGAGCCAAGTGGGTACAGGGCACCTGACCTTTGAAATGGCCATAGCTGGGAGGCAGGAATAACCACTACTCCAGCAGAGACACTGGCTATTCCAGCTAATCCTGACCCCACAGGCCAGATCAATGCACCTTAGTTTGCTACTAATGTCCTTACATCAAAATGATGGTTTAGAAATGTGGATCTATTGCTCCCCCCTTTAGCTGTGCTGCTAGCAGAGCAGTTCGATAGTCCCTATCATAAATAAATCGGGTACCTTGTCCTGAAATCATTACACTGTAACCAACATCAGCTACCGTGGAAATTTATAAAACTTTGGTAGAAGAAGAGGTAGTTAATAACAGTTAGCATTTTAAGCCTTATGAAGTGAGAAACAATTTTACAGTGAGAGGAAGAGGAAAATCAATTGATAATTTTACCAGTTTCCGTTATTTCCCACACGAAGTAAACTATGAAGAGTGTTACTAGGTTTTCTGTGGAACCGTTTTGATGCCTAAGTGAAGCTATAATAGTCAGCAGAACACCAACACATAAAACCAATTGCAAGCAGGAGGATAAAGATAGACCATGGAAAGCATTGCTTTTTCACATATTTAATCTCTCTCCCCCAAATGTGAATATGGCTAGCTTTTAACATAATGGACTTGAAGAGAAGCTAAAAAGGTGCTTATTCTCTCTGTTACGCAACTGAAGAATTAGGGAACCTGTAAGCCTTCTATATCTCACAAAAAGTGACGATGACAAGTTTGCAAGCTGCTGCTTTGAATTCTCTAACATCCACAGTTATGTCAGCACACACAGACTGGGGCTCTCTCTTCCACCACGTACATATGAAGTTTGTGTAAACACAGGCCAGCAATAAAGAATCCAGAAGGCAGAGCTTTATATATGCTAAAGCAAGAAACCCCTTTTTTTGTCCTCAGGAACATTTTTAATAGTTCAAAGCAAAAAATGATTACTTTATAGGTAGGTGTTGTTCCATGCTAAGGCTTTGTACTCTCTCTCTCTTTCTCTCTCTATAGGCATCTATGTGTGTATATACACACACACACACACACATATATGTTTCTTTCAGATTTGTCATGATTCCAAGAGCCAAGAAAAAAAAAATCTAAGGGGGAGGAAAAAAAGCAACAATAATTGAGCCCTAATAATGGTCCAAAAATTATGGGGACAATTGATTTCTAATAACGATGAATAAACCTCATTAAGCACATGAATAGAAATCTATTTTGGTTTGGGGCACCACTTACTGTGAGATGCTGGAAAAGCCACGCTCTCATGATATTTGTTGCTACTTTGGGGAAAATGCCTCTTTTCTTCTGACGCTTTTTGTCCTTGTCTGGGTCATCGTCATCCCCTGTACCAGGTGAGGCTACACTGTTGTCTAAACCATCTCCTACAACAAAGAGAAAAACAGGAAGGAGGAGACATTTAATGAACAAAATATAGAAGCCAAAAAGTATCATTAATTACCAAGACACTACCACAGTTTTATTTTGATTTGCTAGATCAGGCACATACAGTTTCTCATTATATATGAGCGCTGATACAAATATGTAAAAACTAGAAACCGTGTCTCTCCAAATACTAATTTTGTGTTTCACACATGCATATATCATTAATTCAATTATAATTGTGTGCTTGACATAGTGCAATAGCTCTTTGTCAATTATGGGATTCAATGTGGTAAAACCTGCCACAAGAAAACCCATTCACTGTAAATGCAACCCTACAACCATTCTGAATACATACTATAAGTAATCAAGTTAAATGTTCTGTAGTCTATATATTCGAGGCCCTCTGTAGAGGTGGCAGTAACCATGTCACCGTTCAGTGCACATAACACACTGTCAGATGAGCCCCTCCCCATAACCATCACCTCCCAACACACGTACAAACACACGCACAAACACGTACACCTAGTATGACCCTGGGTATAGCATTTGCATGACATGAAAACTTCTACATCTCTGCATCAGTGATTATTATCATTAAAAAAAAGATGCACATCAAGGTAGAGCTCTCACTTAATCAGAACTTTCCATCAACATCTTTCTCTTCTGTGCTTTTCCCTGGCATTAATTGTGCATTAGCAAAAATCATTTACTTTTAACAGTCATAGTTATTTTTTCTTGCCCTCCAGCAAAAATGCCTTGAAAGCCTGCCTGGAGGGCATCTAAATTATGTATCTGAAAAACTCTTCTGGCAAGGCATTGCAGGACCCCTACTTTCTTAAAATTCATACGAGCACGTCTTCCTGTTTTTGGGAAGGCATCAATCAAGAGCAGCAATATATGCCATATTCCTACATTAATATTTGAACTAATAACTTTAAAAAAAGGAAAGAAACAAGATCCGACTTGTGGCATAATCAAATGCAAAATAAATGAAGAATACTGGGACAGCACTGAGACTTTATAGATTGCTGTGTTTTCCTTACACATCATTAGCCCAGAGCCACACGAAAGAGGAAAACAGAGAAGTGGAGAGTTTATGCTCCCTGCTGGTGTTTAAGAAGCTGAGGTCCTGGAAGGACATCTGGGAATTGTGCTGAGACGGTGGTTTTTGTAATTTAAGAATAGACATTCATTAGCAGTAAATGCCATAAATCCCATGCTAAGTAAAAACCTTGTCCAAGAAAGCCTAAAACAATAAACTCTGTGCTCAATGTAGCCTGAGCTAGACGCTCCATAGCTTCCTGAGGAATGCTATAGATTCACGAGCTAATTCCTATAGCCTTGTCTAGCTCTGTAGTGTTACTAAACGAAATACGTTGCTGCTACATACAGTCCATTTGCTTCAAAACTTGCATTTCAGCTCCATCTTCCCTCCTGTGCCAGATCACCCTTCTTCCACTGCCTCCCCTCTGAAAAACCAACCCTTTTGGACCAGAGAGACAGAAAAAGCCACAGCAAAGAGCTGGCAGATTAATTTTATTGACATTTCCATTTTCACTGCAATGTGATACCCTCCATCACATGGAAGAGATGACCCTCACTATTTACAGACTGACAGGCCACTTCATTACAACCACCCTGCCCCAAGGCAGAGCAGCTCCTTTCCATCTGCCCAAACACCAGAGCAAGACCCTGAAGTCGCTGCTCTCTTCCTCATGCTCCTTTTCTTTTTTTTTTTTTTTGTTTCTGTTAACGATAGAGAAAGGAGAGTCGAATCACAGCAAACTAATCGAAGATATTATGGAAGCCCTACATGCTGTAACCAACTGTTCACTTTTGCAAGATGTTGGTTATTTAGAAAGCACTCCTTTCTGTTGCTCTCTCCCCCCCATATATTCCACCCTCTCTCTCCCTCTCCCTCTCCCTCCATCTTTCCCCCTCTCCCTCTCTCTCTCTCTCTCACACACACACACACGCGCACACTTTCCACTATGTCAAGGAACTGCTGCAAGGCAAATTCTCACAAACACTAATGGCTTCTGACTGCTCCTTGGCAACCCCAGCATTTTAACCTGGGTGGATATGCTCTCCAAAATACAGACACTGGAGCTATCTCATCAGCTGTTCATGTGACACAGATGGAGAGTGGCTATTAGGAGCCAGGCAATGGGCCTTGGGGATCTGAGGTGCTGTACTGTAGCCTCAGGCAATTTTGAAAAGCAGTACCCGGAGATGGGGGGGAAAAAATCTCTACTGAAAGTGCAAGTTTGAAGTCAGTCAGTCTGTTTGTCTATCTGTCGTATGGATAAAGATATCTTTGTCTCTTTATGTAAAAGCTATGCGTGTATGCACAGGATGCATGGAGCTGTAAAACTTCCGCTCTGCACCATCCTTTCGCACCGCAGAAGCACTGGTTCACTCCCTGTACGGACAAATTCCTGTTTCTCTGTATATACATACTGTCCTGTTTGTGAGCATCCTCAGCAGGAGTCACCTACACGCTAAATCAGTGTTTAGACCTTTTGGAGAGGTTGTTAATATCCTGGTTTTAAAAAGCTAATAGCAGCCCAGGAGATGAAAGTTCAGCTAAAGCTTCCACTGTCTTCCCACCTCAATTGGCAGTTGAAATGGTGAGAGTCAGTGCTTCCCTAATCTGTTCCATAACCTCATGAAAGGAAATCCAAATATTGTACCTCCAAATGACCTCAGAAGATGATACAGCAAGATTTGTTGCTCCTGGTGAACCACAGGCCCAATCCTGTTAAGCTGTATTGTTATATCTTTAATAGCACTACAACTGCTCACATCAGTGGGTACAGTTTCTAGTGACAAGAAGTCATAGAGGTAGCCCATAACTGACTTTTCCAAGGTGGAATGATTTACTTCTTGGATATGGAGGGCCTGATCCTAGTTTGCTGTATTCAAATAAACATGAGTTACTTTAAATGAAGAAAAAGAAATTATCAAAAGTGAAATAAAGTAAATGACATGAAAGTCATTCTGTTGAAGACTGGACTGAGTATACTTTTAACTGCTGTATGAAGGAATCCAAATTTAAACCATTTAAACCATCATTACAAGTGATTCTGCTTATGTGAATCGTTCATATCCTGATTTGGATGGCAATTTGTAAGAAGAGTAGAGTCAAGTCCTAACTTGTATGGAAATTGCAATTATATAAGCATAGTTATCCCAATTTTCTAGTGGGGAAATTAAGTCTAGATTTTGGCCCACTGACTTTCTTTTTCACACAGCAGCAAAAAAAAAAGGGTGACTTTCTCCTGCTTTGCACACTGTTCACTCGTTTATTCTTGTGCATAGAGTACAAGTGATTGCAAAACTGTATCACTGTTCTAGGAAAGTGGAGAATTCTTAAGTGGCGCTCTCTTTGTGGAGATGTCAATGACTATGCAGGATTCAAGCCAGTAGAGAATTAGGCATACTACCCAGCTTGTTTAAGATTATATCAATGCTATATAATAGTCTCAATAACCCCTATAAAAGATGGAGAGAGTTTAGAAGAAACTTTGCAAAGTGACCCACACGGGGTTCCTTAGAGACCTTCTCTTCTAGGGGAAGGGTTTGTGGAGGAGGCTGAAGATGCAAGTCTTCTTTACACAGTGGGAAGTTAGGCTTCCACACTAGCTCTGTGTGCAGACATTCTTAGCACATGCTGAGGGTTTCTTCTGACAAGATAAATTATTTTGCATTGACAGCAAAGGAGACTACCTCTTATTTAAAAAATACTGAATAAGTAGTTAGAGTAGGGTTTCTATTGCACCATAATTTCAAACTTAACTTGCTGCAAACTGATTTCCTTGGACAGACTAGCTTGCTGACCCCAATGTTCATACAGCTAAAGGCCAGTCCAACCTTATTGTATCAATGAATTCCTCTTTGACAGTCCTCCACACTATCAGTATTATCTCAACCCTAGTCCTTGCTTGTGTTCCTCACAGAGTAAAGACCCGGCAAGAGACAAAGCGAGTGCTGTTTAGAAGCTGCTCATCTAGTCTTTTCACCATTTGTGAACAGGATGAGTAACAGATTCCCAATCTATGCAAAATTATAACTAAAAGGGATAACCCAGTCAGGCCAAAGCACAGAAGCCTGGTAACAGCCCAGATTCAAACTCTAGAAATAGTTTCTATTACCATCATAACAAGCAGAGCAGTAAGAAAAGTGATTTCTGGAAAAATACATTTCAGGACCCAGTGTTTGAGATTCTTCACCATCAGAGGTCCCCTACAGCTTTACGGTTTGTCATGCTAAAGGAAAAGAGGGAAGAGCAGGAGGGAAGACAAGACACTTAATCATTTTTCTAAAAATAGTGCAAGCAATATGAAAACCAAGTTAAAGATTCTGAAAAGGAAGGCTGCAGTGCACTATACCGATCTTAAGTAAACTACTGATCTTAAGTAAAATCTTTCAGTCCAGTATTTTGATGGAATAGAATATGTAGATATAAATGCAAAACAAAGAGGAGAATCTACATGCAGTTTATATTCACAATGTGCAATTATTTGTTTGTACTTATAATGTGTCCATCTGGACACATAAGTATTGTAAACCATTATTAATAAGGATGTTCAATTTCGTAATACGATCCACATCGCCACCAGAGAAAAATCTTAAAAATCTGGTTAATTACCACTGCCAAAAAGCTGGGAAGAGAAGTGTTTAATAAGTTTTGAAGATAAGACAGTCTGTGCTGTAGGAAGGACTAATAGAGAGGGAGGGTCAGTTCCAGAATCAAAGACCCTTCAGGAGAACTCCTTATCTCCATTCCACCCTGTTAAAATCATCAGACTTTTAGCCTTACAGCTTCAGCAGATCATAGCTCTTTGAAAGAAGTGCTGGCTGTGGGGGTTTTTTTTCTCCTCCTCTTAATGATCACTGTTCATGGAAGTTGACTTAGTGCCCTCACACCGCAGAAGCAATACTTATCTACCGCATCTTACTGCCTAGGAAAACTGAGTTAGGATAGGTTATGGGTGGC